TGACTTTATTATGCTGAGATATGTTCCATTTATCCACAGTGTTTTTAGGATTTTTATCATATATGGGTGTTGAATCATATCAAATGGTATTTTTTAGCATCTTATTTATATGCTCATGATTTTTTTCTTGATGTGGAGAATTATATTGATACTCAGATGTTGAACCATCCTTGTGTGTGTGTGTGTATGTATGTATGTGTATGTGTATATACACATACAAAGCCCACATACACAAATCCCACTTGGTCATAATGTATAGTTCTTTTAATGCATTGGATTTGACTTGCTAAGGTTTTATTGAAAATTTTTGCATCTGTTCATTAGGAAGACTGGTCTGTAGTTTTCTTATGTTATCTTTGTTTTTGGTATAGAAATAATGTTGGCCTCATAAAATTTGTTTGCAAGTATTACTTCTTTCTCAGTTTTTGGAAAGAGTCTTTGAAAGTTTGGTAGAACTCACTGGTAAAGCATCTGGTCCTGGATTTTTGCTTTTGGGGAGAGTCTTGATTACTGTTTCAATTGTGATTGGTTTGTTCAGATTTTCTGTTTTCCTTATTCAGGCTTGAATGATTCTAAGAATTTGTCCATCTCTTTTAGCATGTTGAGCTTGTTTGCATATAAATGTTCATCGTAACGTCATATCCTCTGGATTTTTGCAGTGTCTTGTGTACTTTCTTTGACTTTTGAATTCATTTATTTGAGTTTTCATTTTTCCTTATTAAACATAAGGAACAGTTGTCTATATTGTCTTTTTTAAAATTCTGTTGCACTTATTTCTACTTAAGTTTTAATGATTTCTTCCTAATTGTTTTTGGGTTTTTGTTGTTGTTCTTTGCCTAGATCCTTGAGGGGAGAGGTTAGGTTATTTATTTATTTATCAACTACCTGATGTATATTTATTAACTGCCTGGTGTATATTTGTGTTCCTTTGTTTCAAGGTGAATAAATATTGATGAGTGCTATATCTGCCTGGTATAGTGTTCCCTTAATCATTATATAGTGTTGCTCCCTGTCTCTTGTTACCTTTGCTAGCTGGAAGTGTAGCTTACCTGATAGAAGTATATCTGTCCTCATCTCTCTTTGGATTTCATACATTTATAGAATTGTCTTCCAATCCTTTGCTTGCAGTCTGTTTATCCTTGGAACTTAAGTGTGTTTCCTGGAGACAGCAGAAGATTGGATTCTGTTTCCTAATCCAACTAGATTCTCTGTGTCTTTTTATTGGTGAGTTCATTTAATGACATTTGGAATGATTATTGATGTATGAAAGTTGGTTACCACCATTTTGCCATAATTTTGTGGTTCTGCAAAATTTTGTGGTTGTTTCCTCATTCCTTATTAAGCCCTTTGTGTTCTCTCCTATCTGTTTATTTTAAATACTTCTTGGGGAATATTTAAAATATTAAAAACTTCATTTTAATACTTCTTGGGGAGAAAGGTTGTGGTTGTAAATTTCATAAGTTTCTGTTTGTAATGAAGGCCTTTATTTCTACCTCATATTTGAAGGAGAGCTTTGCAGGATATAGTATCCATGGCTGACAGTTTTTATCTAATAAGATTTTCAATATGTCACTCCATTCTCTTCATGCCCATAGTGTCTCTTAGAGAAGTTTGATGTTAGCCTGATTTGAGTTCCTTTATAGGTTTCTTTGCTCTTAATAAGCTTCATTCTTTCTTGTCTTGGACTCTTGGGAGCTTTACTACTATATATACCTTGTATGTCTCAATATATTTAGGTAGTTAAGTGTTCTTTTACCTTCTGAAAAGTTAATAATTTAGTTCTTTTTTTTACTTTTGGGAAGTTTGTCTATTATTTCTTACTCTTCCCCTTTTTGGATTCTTACAATTCTTATATGTCTTTTCTTGTGGAGTCAAGTAGTTCTTGAAGTTATTTTTTTCCCTTTGTTCCTCTTTTTTTCCCCTGGGTTCTTTCTCCATTTGCATCTTTTGATTTGGTTCACTGTTTCCCTCTTCATTTGATCTATTTACTTGACTTTTGCACAAATTTGTCATCTACTCTACTGAACTTTTTACATTCTTTAATTCCATTATTTTCTAAGCATTTCAATTTCAACCTTTTGCTTGTTGATTTTGCTTTCTTGCCTAGCATTTCCTTTCCTGAGTTTTGCCTATCTGATCTGTTGATCTGTTTTCTCTCTGTTGTTCCCTTTATTTGAGCCTTTTTAATCATGGGTATTTTGGATTCTGCATCTGATGGGAGGTTCTTCCATGTCTTTGTGATTGGGTATAGAACTATCCAGGTTTTCTTGTTTTTCATTATTTAATCTTGGTAGGTTTTATGTTTATAACAATTTATTTCATGTACATTAGCTGATTTTTTGACTATGTGTAACTATCCATCATACTCTCATAATCATTTTTATTTCCATAGAAACAGACAAATATACCTATTTTCATTTCTGACCTTAATAATTTGAATCTTCTCTTTTATTTTTCAATCCATTTAGCTAAAGTTTGTCATTTTTTTGTCTTTTCAAATAACCAACTTTTGATGTCATTGACATTTTGTTTTATACTTTTTCATAATTTCCATCCTAAATTTCGTTATTTCCTTCTCCTGATTGCTTTGGGTTTATTTCTTTTTTAAAGATTTATTTATTTATCCATACAGAACGGGGTACAGGCCAGAGGTGCGGGGGTGGTGAGATGATTCACCAGAGACAGAGTGGAGAGCAGAACAGGCAGATTG